TCCCAAAATTGGATTTTTTGCCAAAAAAAAAATGAAAGTAAAGGTGAAACCACTGGAAAGTATGGGGGTAACATTTGTTTAACATGCAACATTGTTTAACCTTCCTGCAAACAAATCAGAATGAATGCCTGACAAATAGCCATTGCTGTCTAACCTCCCTATAAATTTTGTGCAAACAAATCAAAATGAATGCTCAATAAACAGGTCACTGGAAATCAACAGTAGTTTCCCTCAGGCTATACTTTATTGTTCTTTTCACACATGGACACTTTTCCTCATATCCCTTGCTGGGGGTGAAATCTAGCCGAGTCATATTTTCTGATAACCACCCAGAATTCTTAGTTCTTTAGCATAACAGATGATATAAACTTTTTCCAATGCAAGTATTGCCTCAGGGCAACCTATACTGATAGCCCAACACAAAGGAATCTGATAGGAAACAGATAAAAATATATTTAACACAGAATACTGTTAGTGTAGATTACTTAATCAAACTTGAGATGGAAAAATATATTATTAAGCCTCATGCCACTCTGCGTACATTTTACCAAGTTACAGTGATGCCAATCTTTCAGAACATGTTAGGGATGGCCACATACAAAGCTGAAAAAACTTGAAAAGGGTAAATGTGGAAGAGAGAGCAGGGGAGGGAAATGGGCTAGAATATTTGTGTGTGTGTTTCTTGTATGTGCAAGTACCACAGAACCCTGTGCTTCCACTTTTTGGTCAAAAAGAACAGCTTTGAGGACAAAGTAACATATCAATGTGCTGAGAAAAACTCTTGCTCACAAAGAAATGAACAATTAGGTCAATCTGTGCTTTTAATCTTCAGCACATACTAACTTGGAGTGATGCAAGTTACTGTAAGCACATCTCTTCTAAGAACTAATCCACTAGTGAGTACTTATCTCCCAGAGATCACTTGTTTCCGATATACAGCTTAAATGCATCTAAGATTACAAATAAATATTTACAGGCCTTGCAACGGGGTGAAAAGATTATGAAAAATGATATATTTAACACGCTCAAAAATACAAATATTATCCTTTATCATAAACATGAGCAGTGTAAGTAGAGTATTATGCTTTGTTCTGTAATCCATTTTATGTAACCAGTGTAGGGGGAAATGTAGTGAGGAAATGAAGTTAACACATATGAGGGCATATAATCAGCATGAATGTTTTAGCACTGCTCTGTATTTTAATAATTTTGATGTTTCTTTGTATGGCTGAATATAGATTCAGCTTAAATCAGCTGAATCTTTCCCCAGACTTGTTTCTGATAGCAGAAAAAGAACTTTCCAGAACCACATTTTCTGTTCATGGGAATTGAACTGCAGCAAGTGTAATGTCTGAAGGACTTAACGCCCAGATCTCCTCGGAATCCCAGCCTGAAGCTAGCAAATTCATATATGACTCACAAAGATACATAGATCTTTCCAACCTTAACCTTTTGTCACAGAAGCACCCTACAACTATACTTGTATGAACAAAACTGATATTAGTAGTAGAAGAGCAACACCCAGGAGTATTTGCACATGCAATACAAGAAATACAGTATTCACCCACCTGACTACCAACAGCTCCAAATCCACATTAGCTGTTTGTGGCCACAGTGATAATAACTGTTCACCCAGCTTCCATTCTCTAGGAGCTGACAGATGACATACTTACCACCAAGTCTCAATGCACAAGCAAAGGAAAGACTGCTGCCTAATACTCTGACAGTATCCCCATCTCTTCCCCATTGACCCACTGATCGCTTCCTCCTCTAGGCCCCACCCCCAGGAGTTATGCCCCCAATCCTGGCCACAAGCAACTCCTGTGACTGGCTGCTCAGAGGCACCTGTCAATCAGAGCCCAGCTGAGTCAAGAGCCCTTGCCAACATTCCTTTGTTCCTAATCCTGGAACCACCTCCAGAGGCTATGCATTTCAGAGTACATGGTGCTGTACTAATCTACTTAATATAAAATTGGATAAATAAATACTCTGCCTTAGATTTAGACTTTCCTTTTGATTGTGTCTACTCACTGTTTCTTCCATGGTCCTAAATAAACTTCAATCGAATTTCTGGGCTATACTGGTTTCTGGACACACTCAGAGGCTGTTTATTTCCCCCACCACTAACATTACTCTGCTTCTGATTTAAAGTGCTTGGGAGGTCTGGACAGGTGACAGGCTGAAGTTAGAATAGAATCATAAAGGTGGAAGGGACCATGAGGGTCATCTAGTCCAACTCTGTGCAGTGCAGGAATCTTATTTGCACATCAGCAAAAAGATCTTGAACTCACAACCCTGAGAATAATTGCCTCATGCTCTACCGACTGAGAGACTTGGAATACAGCTGACCGTCTCCCTACACTCAAATAAACCCCCTTAAGGCAACTAAGAATCCTGAACCCCTTATTCAAGAAGACAAATAATCAGGTGGCAGCGAGAAGGGAGAGGTGCAGGATGGGACACCCATTGTTTGTGAGCTGAACCAGAGTGCATGCGGTGTTAGGAAAGGGGTAGTACCTCTAGTGGGGGACACGTGATGCTCCTTCTGTGATAGTTTGTCCACCTTTGGTCCTCACACTCTACTCAGCTCATCTGTGGCTCCTAGAAGCTGTCAACATGCAATGGCAGCCACACTCTGGGAAACGGCTTTGACTAGCTGGCTAAACCAGATGAGGGGAGCCAGTGGGACTCAAACCCTTGCTGAGTTAGGGACTTCCCCTGCATGCAAAGACAGGCTCCGGTGGAACAAGCAGACAAGCCCAACAGCAGGTCCAATGGTCAAGAAAGTGGCTTCTGTACAAGCTGTAGAGAGAAGTGATTCTGATCTAAACCTCCACTGCCTTGCGGGATGTCTTTGGGAGAAGAAGAGGCTACGGAGTAAACCCTACACAAATCAGGAGTGGAGTCCCTAAGATGGTTGGATGGCGCCCTGTATGCCTCCTTCTGGCAGCTCCTGCAGCCAAGCTGGTGCCAAACGTATTGCTCTGCTTTCTTTTGGACCACATCAGTGAGACCAACATGGGGGGGGGGCTTGTCACCCCCAGAGGTGCATGCCATTGTCTCTTGAGACAGATGGATGCAAAGAACACAGGAGCAAGTTTAGCAACATTACCTGACACATTCAGAAAGTCTAAAGAATCCATTAAAAGGAGTTACACTAATTCCTAATAAAATGTAAGCAGGCTAGCAAGAGAGTTGATGCCGCATTTTACACGCCACAAGTCCTCTTGTGTTACATCACCTACATTGATCCCAAAATAAATCTGTGTTAAATGTGCCATTAAGTCATTTGCAAATATGAGAAAACTGAGGCAGACGGAATCCCCATAACATTAAAAATCACTGTATTCCAATACAACTGGGAATTCTAAAATTACAGGATTCTGTGTTGAAAGCAGATTTTGCAGTCAGTGCATTCCAAGACATATGACGTTCCTCAACTAATCTTATTATCATTATGAATGCCAATTCATAATTGGCATTCATAACCCTGAAATTCAAGTGCACCTAATAAATAAAACATTATATCTGCATGGAACAATGTTATAAGAAAACATATTTTACAATTCACCCAACAAATCAAAGGAGGAAGCATTTTAATATTCTACAAACGTTAGAATCCAAAACCTAGCTTTCTTCTTTTCTGTTCTTTTTAGGTACAACCTTCTTTCCCCCAGTTTCATGAGTTTGTCACCTCTTTTTACCAGTTTGCTTTATTTCTGAATAAGCTTAACACAAAACCCTCTCATTCTCAAAGCAACAATTGTGCCCATGACCAACAAGCCTCTTTGCAATAATGCTTATGGAATGGAATAAAGTATCAGGAGCCAGGGCGGCAGCGGCAAGTTATACAAGCCTTGGGATGAAAGAGATTCTGTGCTTTGAGGAGCATGTCTGGGATTGTTGGGAATCCTAGGACTGGTGCCCATTATGGGTTGCAGACACTCAGAAGACAGGTAAGGGGCTGCGCTGCAGTCAGTGTGGCTTTGTGCATGGCATGAAAGGTGAAGGGAAAAGATACACAGATGCTACAGGAGTGTGCATAACGCAGTGCCAAAATAAAAATATAGAAGCAGGGGCAAGTGAAAAGATGAGGTGAAATTACAATACATGAAGAACAAAAATGGTTCAAAACTAGGACTGGCTACGTAGGAAGGATCTCAGGTGGTGTCAACAGCTGAAGGTGAAGACAACAGGGAATTCCATCTCTGCTGGATGTAACAGTTTCTGAAAGCAGTGGACGTATTTCCAGCAATTAGGGGAGAAGTGGGTGATGGATGATGTTAAACAATATTAGTGCTAGGTAAGAGCAGGGAAGCTCCTATGGATGGGGATCATGTATTTGGCTGTGGGAACCATAACATGTCGGTTGTGTGTGTGTGGAAAGCTGCAAGCAGTGGTAGATATTAATCTGACAACTGGCTAGTGGTAGATATTAATCTGACAACTGGCTTAAAAACCCCACTACCCACCAGCTACAGTTCCCACAGCCAGTTCTCCCTGCATTCCTAAACACAGCTGGGAGCCAGATGAATTGAATTTAATGGGACTTCACCTAGCGATTTGTTATATCTGCTCATCTGCCTTTTGCCCATGGATGGCCTTCGTTTTAAACCAGAGGCGAGGAATCTGTGACCCTCCAGGAGTTGTTGAGACTTGGCTTCCAACACCACTGACCACTGGCCATGCTGGCTGGGGCTGAGGGAAGCTGGGAGTCCAAAATCTAGCCTGCCACAGGTCCCCCATCCCTGCTTTTCTGAATTTTAAAAATATTTGTCATAGTTATTGTGGTGTTTTTGTTTTTTGAACCTTCATAATACCCAAAGATAACCTTAGGAGACATCACCTGCGTGAAACCACAGCCAATGTTCTTTAAATTAACTGACCCTCGGGGAGTTTTAAAACATGGAGGCGCCTCACTCTGGTTTGGGACCGAGGATGAGGCCAGCGGGGCCCCGTCGGTTTGTGAGGGCAGAGGCGGCGGGCCGGTCGGTACTTACTGTACGGGTCGCTCTTCTCCCGGACTCCATCCACTCTGCCGTCGGGGTTGATCCTCAGGAAGAAGCCGCCGTTTTTGCAGTAGAGCCGCTTGGGATCCTTAAAGTGCCCGGGCGCGAAGGTGCCGCCACTGCCTCCGCCGCCGTCCTCGGGCATCGCGGGGAGGGTGGTGATGCCCGCCGCAGCCATCCCCGCCGGGCCCGCCGCTGCCGAAGACGGCTCCCCCCGGGGCGCCCTCCCGCGAGCGCCTCGCCGACGGCCGCCTCGGCCGCGTCCCCCCAGCCTCGCGCCCCGGCAGCCGCTTCTCCCTCGCCCGCTCAGCCTGGCCGCCCGACGGCCACCTCCGCGGGGAGGGCCGGGGCTGACGGAGAGGCGAAGGCGCCCGCTCGCCCGCCTTCCCTCGGGGCTCCCGGCCCAAGTTCTCGCAAGTTCGTCGCCGGAGCTGCGCAGCGCCGAGCCTGGCGCCTCCGAGAGCCCTTTCACCGGAGCCAGCCAAGCCTCTCCGGCCCAGCACGCCGGGGAGTCCTCTGGCTGAAAACTTGCTGCTGCCGCCCAGTGCGCGGAGAGAGAGGGAGGCGAGGAGGCAGGCGAGGAGGCGCTGTTGCAGCTTCTGGGCTCGCCAATCTGCGGCCCCTCGACCAGGACTGATTATTTACTTGTTTGTTCCCTCCCCTCTGCCCCTCCTCCGGCCTCCCACCCCTATGTGTCTCTTTGCTGGGCCGGTTCTCTGCCTGCCGCCCGGTGCGACGGGGGAAGGAGGTGGTCGATTCTGCTGCTGTTGGAAACTGGCCGGGATGGGGAAGGGGGGAGCGCCTTCCCTCCTCCGCATCCCTCCGTGTAACTCTAGCCTGCCCAAAGAGCGCTTGCACAATGCAGCCGCCGCCGCTTCACCCCGGGCCAAGCGCTGCTCGGCTCCCACAGAACAGCGCTCTCCTTTTCCCGCCGCGCCGGCCTGCGCAGTTGCAAAGCGGCACAAGTCGCTGCGCACTTCCCAGGATTTGCAGCCGCTGCTCCAAAAAGGCGCGCAGCAAGGCGGCGCGGCCGTTGTAGAGGTGGATGCGCCGATGGGACAGTCAGGCGCCCCACCACCACCAAAAAATCCCCCTCCTGCCCTGGATAGCCAGCAACCTCCCTCCCTCGCCTCCTGTCCACACACGAAGAGCGAAGCAGCAGCATCAGTTCCCTGGATCCACCGTACTAGCAGGAAGCAGGTGCGTGCAAAAAAAGCGCAAATCGCACAGTGGACTCAAACAAGTGAGCTAATCGCACTCTCCGCGCTAAAGGCAACGCACAAAGATGAAGGTTACCAGATTTTTTTCAGTGAATCTGGGGACACTTTTCAACTTCAATGGATTTTGTATGGAGACTGATTAGTAAATTCGGGGACTGTCCCCTGGAAACGGGGACATCTGTTAACCTTAACATAGACTGCTAGCTCATTTTGTGCTCTGAACGGAGTATGAACTACTAGTCTCAAAATGGTAACGCATGGGAAGAAGAGTCTTTCTGAATCTCCCAAGTGATACAGCCCGAAGTGAGTGAGGCCTGCGGATAATTCAAGAAAGGGAAAAGGATGGGCGTGTGTTGGATATGGCGAACACCTGGCTAGCACCCCCACAGCTATGGCTCTGTGAAAAGCCCATATTTGTACAGTCTGAATGTCATGTTTACAGCATCATAGTCAGAATTAAAGTTCAGAAGTTCTTTTTAACTCTTGCATGAGCATGGAATACCCTTACCAAGGAAGTTTATCTTTCCGACTCCCATTGTAATACTTCAAAGAGTATTTGCCTTGCCTTGTTTAAATAGATTGGAGAGCTGGTGGCTGTCTCTCCAGCTGGAGAACTGAGGACTGGACTGGCATTGCTTACGCTTGAATTTTCTTATTTTGATCACTGTATATTTATAGTCAATTATTGGTTTTTATTGTGCCTATTAACTTTATTGCTCACTGCTTAGAGTGCAGTGGATTGTAAAGCAATTTATAAACGTGACAGATGGTTAGATAGATGTCCTGGCTCCTTCCTTCCTTCCCTCCCCCCTTCCTTCCTTGCTTCAATTCCTGAGATGAGGAAGTGGGGAAATCCATAAAGGGGATCCAGCCGAGTCATTCTTTGTCTATTCCAAGTTGATAAACATTCAAGTAACACTGAAACATGCCCGGGCAAGATCTAGCTATCCCACATTCCCTTAGTGGGGAAAGGAATCTCACTCAGATAGTTGGAATCATTGGGTTAGAAAGGATCCACTACCTTTACACTACCTATCCAAATTTCACCAGATAATGGTCCAACCATGACAAGGGAGTACATACCAGAACTTCAAATTCTGTTTGGAAATGAACCAGCATATAATGTAGCTATTTATTCCTTGGTGGTCATTTAGCTGGCCTCACCCTAACCTACAGCTAACAACCTAGCAGCAGGATTTTGGACAAAATGACATTTTTGAGAGGTCGCCTCGTATGCAATATGCTGCAGTGATCTAATTTGAATATTGCAAGACCATAGAAAAGTGGACCAGCTATCTGTTTTTCCCCAAGGCATCAGGTGGTACACCAGCCAGAATTAGTAACCAGGGATTAATGCCACATGGGCACTCAAAGGTATGGGTTCACCCAAAACAGCCCCAAGATGTGAACCTGACCCTTCAGAAGCAATGGAACCCATCTAGATCAGGTTGAACATACCACCTTCTGTGGTTCCATCAAACCACCTCCCAACAATATTTCCTTCTTGTCTAGTTTATATACGAAAGCCAGTTCCCAACATTCTGTTTTATTTTCCTTACATTCTAAAACACACTTCCAACATTCTGTCCAATGTTTCCAAAATCCACTTTCTCTCTAGCCTACCCTCTTCCCAGTGGTGTAGCGTGGGTTGTCAGCACCCGGGGCAAGGCAAGTAATTTGCGCCCCCTAACCCGTGGATTTGTGCCCCCTAACCCGTGGATTTGCGCCCCCTAACCTGTGGATTTGCCCTAACCCCAGATGTTGCGCCGGTGCGGCCGGCCCCCCCTGCACCCCCCACGCTACGCCACTGCCTCTTCCACCCCTCCAAAACACACCCCAAAGGCATTGAACAGGTCTAATGCTACCCCAAGAATATCTTTAAGTTTACTCCTTTATTTTACCCTGCTTTGGAGAGTCATTATCATGCATTCCTATATGGAAAAGCAAAATATTACCTTGTCAGAGAATGTTGCAGTGAGAGTAAAGCCTGCTCACCATTCCTGATGCTGAGTGACTCCAACAAAACCGTGGGAAAGGAGACCATCCGTGTACATCTGCAGGCCACTCCAGATCTGCAGGGAAATATGTTTCAGGTGTTCTTTAATTCATAGAATCATGGAATCATAGAATTGGAAATTTGGAAGGAACCCTGAGGGTCTTGTAGTCCAACCCCCTGGAGTACAGGAATCTAGTTCAACCCCCTGCAATGCCATCCAAACTTGGCTTAAAAGCCTCCAATGAAAGAGAGTCCACCACCTCTTGAGGGAGTCTGTTCCACTGCTATTACTATCAGAACGTTCTTCCTGATGTTTAGTCGAAATCTCCTTTGTTGTAACTTTAATGCATTGGTTCAGGTCCTACCCTCCGGAGCAGGAGAATTGAATGGGGTGGGGGGAAAGCTAAAGAACAGAATTGGTTAGGGATGTTGTACAGCTTCCGGGTCATGTGGCCAGCATGACTAAGCCGCTTCTGGCAAACCAGAGCAGCGAATGGAAACGCCGTTTACCTTCCCGCCGGAGTGCTACCTATTTATCTACTTGCACTTTAACGTGCTTTCGAATTGCTAGGTTGGCAGGAGCAGAGACTGAGCAACGGGAGCTCACCCCGTCGCAGGGATTCGAACCGCCGACCTTCTGATTGGAAAGTCCTAGGCTCTGTGGTTTAACCCACAGCGCCACCCGCATCCCAGTTTCCCTGTTTACTAAACACTAAAATAGTGTTACGATTGCTGAAATGTTTTCATGATGGACTGTTTTTAATTTCTATTTTTTCTTACCTTTTATTACTAAAAGGTTCATTATGGGAATGTTAACGTATTGCTCAGAATGTGGCTTAGCATTTCAGAATGTAGGCAGTGAAAATGAATAAATGAATGAATGTATCAATATGAATTTCCTGATATGTAAACAGACAGTGCTGCTTAATTACTTTATAGATCACTACGCTCTTTAAGGATGAATGCTCATTCATAAATATCAGAGGGTGTCACCTCTGAACCCCACCAGCTCTCTGTAGCTTTGAACCAGCATTGTGCAGGGGTCAGTGTGTTGGACTAGGACTAGCTACTCCCAGGTTCAAATTCCCACTCATCCACCAAGCTCATTGGGTGACCTTGGGCCAGTCACAAACTATTCTCAGCTTCATATATTTGTTATGATGAAAAGGGGAAGGGAGGAACATGCACACTGCCTGAGAGCCTGGAAAGAAATATGGGGTGTAAATGTATCAAATAAATAAATGCTCAGTCACAAGGAAACACTGGTAGCAGTAGGGCATGGCTCCTTTTCAATTCATAGTATGCTGGTATGCTAGCTATCCTTCACCCTCCTGTAACCAGTTTTATATAGGACATTAAAATACACACCATTTCTCACTCATAATTCTCAAAGCTCACCTCTCAAAGACGGTGAGCTTGCTGGGCAATCACAAGGCCAGGTTTTGTACTGGACAGAAAATGTCCAATTGACTTCCAAAATGCTGTGCCAGTCGAGAATTTGGCATGTATTCCTATGAAATGGACAAAGGCCAAATATGCAGTCATAGTTGCTTGCAAGAAATTAAGGCTCTTCTGGAACATGGGAAGAGCTTGTATCGCCAGAGAATGTTATGATCCAGAAACAATGGATTCTCCTGTAGATTGGTTCAAACCCAAGACTATATTAAAACTGCATGTTTCTAAAACCAGCAACAGAGGTTCGTACAGAAATGTAACCTGGCTTGAATTTGAACATCCTAATAATAAAATATATTGCCAAACAGCAACAGTATACATGGAAGCCACAATATTCTCTTGTTTTAAAGACCTCTTATTAACCGTCAGTGTTGTGAATTTCATTAAAGTGCCTACTGCTTAAGATGGACATGTAAGGACATATTTCTTGTCCTGGCCTGGTATCCATTAAAGACAAGACAATGTTTTCTTCCTGGAAGTGGCATCTTGTTGTGCAATGTTCAGACCAATGTGTAATGCTTTATATAGTATAGAAAAGTGGTTCCATTGTTTCATATCATGCATATGCTATGATATATCCATGATAAGTATGATAAGTATCCATGAGATAATATTCGTATCTTTTATTTATTTATTTATTTATTTATTTATTTATTTATTTACTGGCAGAAAGTACCCAGTGTTGCTTGGGAATTCTAAGAAACCAAAATATACTAAGATTCATAAATTGATAATGTAATTTGTTAGCATGAGAGCTGGACCATTAAGAAGGCTGATGGCCAAAGAATTGATGCTTTTGAATTATGGTGCTGGAGGAGACTCTTGAGAGCCCCATGGACTGTAAGAAGATCAAACCTCT